GGTTTTCCATGGTTTCCCTTGCAGTCCTAGCGCGAATGAGGTACAATTAAGAGTAAGACGGCCCATGATCACGCAGAAAAAATCAGAAGAGAGACGTGGGAGAGGCAAGGCAGACGAATGGGGAGCCTATAAAACCGTAATGGTAGCAGGAAAGAAATATGAATAAAAAATAATAATAATACTGGATAAAATAAAATTAATTTAATTATGAAGATGAAAATGGAGGGAAAATAAAACAAAATAGTGTAAATGAATTCCAATAAATTCATTGAAAAAAAATTGCAGCTATTGATGATAGACAATCTCTCTCAAACCACTGATGATCAAACAAAGAATGCCATGTTTCACTTTTGTCATCCCCTCCCCACTCCACTACTTCCAACCACAACCCATGTTCATGCAAATTGCACAAACACCCCCAATTTCTAAAACACTTCAGTGACACAATGTAAATTGGATGGCGATTGATCCGTTTAGTCTGATGGGTGATGGAATAAAAATTGACGGCCACAGATGGTTGTGTGTAATGGCGTCGAATCGAAATTGCTATAAAAAAGGTTAAAAACAACGACGGAGAAGAGAAAAGGACACTGACCACAGATACGCAACGATAGTTACGTGAATTGGAAATCGAAATGTCACCGTGGACAACGCATTGATGACTGAGTCGAGGGGTTAAACAACGATGAAAATCGTTCAAAGGTATGAAAACTAATGGCGTACACATGAGAAATAGCGGAATACTTGGGAGAAGAGAAGGTAAAAGGGGAGAATGGGATTATGCGGCTGGATGGTTTACTAGAATGAGTTGGTTACACGGTAAAAGGGTAGGTGGAGGTTGAAGGACTGTGGGAGGGCGATCAACCGAGGGCTACAATCGAAACACAGTATAACATTGAGAGACAGGGGAGGACTACAAATTGACTTGGTACACGCCAAGTTCTCGAAAACAAGAAGTTATGTGTCGGTGGCTGGTTAGGAGAGGGTACAAAGGGTTAGACTAGGACTCATCTGGTCCTTGAGAATATTTTGGACAAAATAGATTTGTCATGTTACATCAGATTGTCATATTTGTGTTGGTCACATTACTATCAACTCCCATCAATTTCAACTCAAAAGTTCAGTCACCCGTAGAGCACATGAACATCTTTATCCGACAGTGGCAGGATGTCTCGAATAATGTGGAGCATTCCAGTCCAATGTATATGTAAACAAGAGTGCGAATAACATCGTCACTCAGTCTGCCTCCTCCATTTTGTATCCTCCAGTTGCCACGTCTCTGATATCATAATAAATACAGTCACCGAGTGGCAAAAAACCGCATTCGAAGACATATATCAAGACTATATTTTTATGACCGAATTCCACCCGCTTCCGTGCTTTTTTTTCTCCTCTTTACGTTTGGAAACGTGAAAAATTTATGGAGAGAGTTCTTCGACTGAAATGCGATTTTTGGCATTGGTTATTCCTGTTATCAAGTGAAGGAGGAAATTAAAAAAGAGGGTACTCTCAAGTGCAGATATAATGCTTTGGCATTAGCAATATACGAGCGTTGAGTTGGCTAAACCGAAAGATCGTATCTTCACTTCAAACGGAAAGATACGACCTTTTGCGCAGTCAAGTGGCTTTTCGTTGTAACTGATGGTTGAAGATCCTATCTGCAATTCAATTAAGGACTCACGACCGTATGGTTTGAGTTAAAGCTGAAAAAAATTTGGAAATAACGGAGAGATATGAGACTCCGAGATGGATATCGATTTTACTTCAGATTAATGTTGTCCGAAAACTTTTGTTTCGTTTCACCGAACATTTCAAGGCTTTGTTGTTGACATAGTTACCCCTGAAATGCGTCTAAATTGACGGAAATTGATCAACTTCTGAGTGTAGAATAAGCCAAAATTGAAAATTTCCTCAGAAACAAACCATCTTCCCCGGAATAATTCTAAATTGATAGGTCTCAGTATCCGAGATACTCATCCCTCATGCAACTCCCTCTAAAACAACCCCAAGTGGACTAGAACCCACCCCCTCCAAATCGCTCCATCGAGTTGATCATCCATCAACGATTCACATCTCTGTACATTATTGACGACAGATCATAAATCACTCCAAATTCATCGACTCCCTATCAACCCCATCTCTCACCTATCGCGACACAACTCCTCCCCCTCACACCCTCCAGACACACATCAAACTTATCTTCAATGATAACTTCTTACTACCTTTTGATTTTCACTTCCAAACCCTCACACTCTCGATAAACCACCAACTCGACCCCTTAACTCTCCCAGACCATCCAACCCCTCTTCTTATCTCATATCGATAATACATTTTGTACGTGATTCCAGACGATACACCGAAGTAAATACACCACTGTAGTATCGAACCACCAAAAAAAATGAACAAAGAAACTTCCCCTTTTTCTGGGCAAGTGAATCCCGGGAGAGTTTGCCTCGAGGTCCTGCTTAAAGGTGAGGACGGAAGGGGTCACTAATGGCTGCCGGAATCGGACATGAACAAAGGATGTAAAGTCAACTGAGTAAAAGTTTCTTCCGGAGGAGTGAGTAGCCGAAAAAAAGAAGAATCATTAGTAACTGTTCTTGTTTCTTATCACCCAGGATTTCTTCTTCCATTCGATGAAAATAAAAGACAATTCTCCATGAAACATTCAAATTAGGAGGAAGATTCTAACACAAGAGGAGGAGTGAGCGGTCTCCCGCGGGATTTGCGTATAAAATGGGAATGTAAGAAGAGGCAAGATCAACTTGGGCATTAAATCCTTGCCTTCTCACCTGCAACTGTTGTATCCCTCTCTTACACGTACTGTATAAAATCCCACACGGAAAGTCACCTGACTCTTTCATGAAGTCTGAGAGGAGAGGCGAGATACGTGGCTCAATTTTTATTTCAAACGTCTACTGAGTCACTTCCGCTGGAGATTTCATGGGGCATTATTCAGAAGGAATTGACGGTACTTTTCATCTACAAATGCATGGGCCACCGTTTCTTCTATCATCGCTTACTTATTTTCTTTGTTCTATCTTCTTCAAGGGTACGAAGATAAATGGGAAAATGTCGGAGAGGCGTAGCAGATTCATGGAATATTTAAGGAGATTTCAGATTTAATACTTCAAGTTTTTCATTCTTATTTAACTAGTGAAATAAGGGACGGAATGAAACATTTTTTCTTCCCTTTGGGGGAATTATGATTTTTTTTTGTAGGAAGTGGATTTTTATTTGGAATTCTAATGCACTGGTTTTCGATTATAACTGATAGTTGAAGATCCTATCGGCAATTCAATCGAGGACTTACGGCAGTATGGCTTGAGTTAAAGCAGAGATATGAGATTCCGAGATAGATATCGATTTTACTGCAGATACTTGTAGTTCGAAAACTTTTGATCCGTTTCGCTGAACATTTTAAGCCTTTGTTATTGACATGATCACCCTTGAAATGAGCCCGAATTGAAGGAAATTGATCAACTTCTGTCTGTGGAATAAGCGAAAATCGGAAGAAGCGGACAAGACAATTGGAACAATCAGAAGGCATCTTTTGCAATTTTTTTTGTTCGTAGGAACAAGGCTTTTATTTGGAATTTTAATGCAACTAAAGGATTGATGAATTCAGACATCCAACGAAAATCGGATCATCATACGACGAAGCATCACAAATCGAGTTAACGCGGAAGTTGTGGAAATCTTTGTCCAGTGAAGCGGAGGTGGGTTAACTCTATTTTAAACTCGGCCCAGTGGCGCTTCGGTTTGTTTCCCAAGGGCTTCCGCATATACCCCCGGCTACTGCACATTCGGGATGGGGTAAATGGTAACGCGATAAGTTGATGGTGAAGAGAAATCGGATGGACTCTAAAAAGTTTTTGTACCAGTGGAAGCTTTGAAAATTTCGAGCATTACAAATGTATGAGACAATCCGAAACAATAAATAGAATCAATTTGTCATGAAGGAAATGAAAATTATAGATATTATTCATGTTTAGGTTAGAAGTTGGAAGTGCAAATGGAGAAATCCACCCTTTTCTTTCATAACCTCGATGAAATGTCATTTCTAATGAAATATTAGCCTCAAATCAATGATCCGAAAACCGATTCCGAAGGTTTATCCTAATTATTCCGATCGAACAACTTTAATCGTTAATTAGAAATGCAGGGGGTAACGAAAACACTGTCAGGATTAACCGCAGAGTGTGGTTACACAGGATCTATCCAAACGAGACAGCTTATTCCGAAGTAGGTGGGGTAGGAATGAACATCAACAGAACACTATTCACCAGAGTGAGGACAGTTGTATCTGGAAAGTGGTTAAGTTGGTTTTTCATGCCTAAACGCCGATGCCCTGAAGACCGCGATACTCACGTCACCTTGACATTTATTTGACGGCCCATTCCTCGCGTAAAGTTGAAAAGAAGAAAAAAAATGCTTTTCGTTCAATATTTGTGCTCACGCGTTGCAGAGTGAGATCGTTGAAATATTCCCAGTGGTGATTAAGAGTGGACAATCATGTTCATTAAAAAATATTGAAAATTAGTCACACCCCAGTGACAAATTAAATCACGAAAATCGATGTATTCACCGAATGCCTCTCATATTAACATTAAAAGGCTTCCAGCTAACATGAAAATCTCATTTGACCCGTCAACAGTAACCAGTCCACATGGTTGAATACAACGCACACACGATCAATCAATCATGAAATTTCTAAACCTAGATAACTGAATTCTCAGCTCTGTTCTACCTCAACCAGAAAAATTTTGAATATAAAAATTTTGGTGCTATTTTCACTCAATCAAAAATCTAAAATGAAACGTATCTAAATTTCTTGAAGAAGTAATTCAATTATCCTGTTCTCTCAATCCATAGAACACCTCTTGATCCTATTTCGACTCAATCAGAAATACAAAATGTGAAACGTATCCGACGACAATTAGAGATAATGTAATTCGTGGGAGAACCGTTGGTTCAAGCTGAAAAAAAATTGTACTCACTTGGAATATCCCAAACGCTGTACCGACGTGTACATTTGTCCTCGAAGCGCTCACTATCTTCTCATGGTCCAGTGGTTGTGTCCCAGAGTCCTTGAACTCTCCGTCCAAATAAAACTCACTCCCCCCTAAAATACAAAAAAAGGCCATCACATCGATCATCCCAAATCCATCGATCATCTTAAATCCATCAACATTGGCAGGATAAAAATAAAAAAATTCTATATCACGAGGCACCTTGAATGACTCCGAACCACCACATCACCCGGAATAATTTCTCACCCACCTGAGAGACGCTTTTCCTCTCCAAAACATACGGATAAAAAAAAAGAAATATTAAAACCACCTGCACTCACTCACGCTTCGGATTACACTTGTGTGCACACACTGCAAAAGTACCACTGGTCCCGTCGTGGCAGTGCCATTTGCCTTGACTAGAATGAAAAGAGTGGGAGAGCGTGGGTAGTTTGTAGGGGTGGAAGGGGGGAGGGGATTTTGGAGGAGAGGATTGAGGTGGTTTTCTATCGGCGTAGCGTTTGGAAAAGCACGCGAGTGCCACTACAGAACAGTGCAGCTCCAGCAGCCTACGCCGTCACTTCTGATACACTTTTACCATGAGGGGTGGGA